TAATATCGTAGATAATTTGTTGAGATTTAGTAGAATTTCTTCTTACCTTCTCTACCAAATTTGCGTTTTTTCTTTCCGGCACCACCGGCGGACGAGCTCTTGCTGGAGCTCTTGTCCTTGCTCTTCCACCGTATCAGCATCTCTCGTAGCCGCTTCAGCGTTTCGAGCTCACGTCATCGGCCTTGAAAAGCGACGCGCTGAGGTCGCGACTTCTACCGGTCGTAACTTCGACGTAACTTTCGATAATGGGAATTAAATCGTGTTTAACACGACAACGACGAACGAAGAAATAAATCAAACAAAACTTATACGAGAAATTGTTCGATCACGAAATTTCGTCGTCACGTCAAATTTATGATACTAAGAAAAAATGTTCTATAATGATATTATGTTAATTATTATATTAATAATTGATACGTACAAAATTAATATTTTAATTATAAATTAATTATTTTTATGGATCGCTTTAAATTAAGCGAAAGATTTTTATTCGAAGAAAATAAAAAAAGGTATAAATTCGAAGGATTAGACCATTTCGAGAAAGAAGAAAAGGTTTCAAGGCGCCATCTTTGATTTTCCTCGCTAAACGCAGCTAACGGCTGGACACTGGGTCATAAATTGATCACTATTGTGATACTGATTACTATGATCGAGTATCATTAATATAAAAAAGAATTTTGATATAAAATTATTATTTGTTTTCTCTTCTTGTCTCTATAACATGAAGGATCGTACAACAAATGCTAGAATGATTACTTTTGATAGATTATTCTTTATTGTTGTTGATTGTCACGTTAACCTCCTTTCTTCTTTTCACTATCGTTGGCCTTTCCTTCCTTTGAGAATTCCTCGCGATGACTACGCGTTTCTTCCATTTAAAGTGCAACGACCGCGCGACGAAAGAGCACGAAGGTCAACCCTCCTAACTCGAAGTATGCACAAACGCGGAAAATAATTGCAGTTTAAAGAGATAAGAATTGAAAAACATTTTTATTCAGTTCCTTTTTTTGTACCTTTTACTTTAAGCAGGGGTGAAGTTTAAAGATGTTTGAAAGAGAACAGAGATGAATTATATTAGAATAAAAATATTCACAAATTAAAGTGAATTATTTTTTTAATAAATACCTAAGATTAGAAACATAAAGAAGAATCTCGATATTTGTTAATAAAATTTTGCTTGAACAATTAAACGTGTACATGAAGAATTTGTACGTAATAATCACTGGGAATAATTAAATTAAAACAAAAAGTATAGAAAAAAAATCTGTAAAATTTAAATAATAAAGGACAGTAGTACACGAAAATGAAATTCTACTCGTAGAAAACGAAAAATTTACGAACAAAAACGGTCAATTATTTCGCACAAAAATCGTTTTCTTTGAAATCCACTGAAATCATAGAAAAAAAGAAGAAGATTATACTAATAAAAATCATAAAAAATAATATCATCGAGAAATAAGAAGAAACTAAATGGACCACAAATCTTAAAATTCATCGATCTCACAGGTAAAATAAAACACGAAGGATATATGCGAACAAATAAATCTACAATGACTTAACATAAAATCGGTTTTCTTCGACTACTTCGATCCATCCGTTACGAGAGTACTCAAAGATTGCCAAAGAACAACAAAAAACAATAACACAAAAAGTATTATCACTGTTGAGAATGGAACTTCAACGAGTCTCACTGCGTACACAATGTTGAAACTAAATTGAACAATGATTGCACCAAAATCAATTGAATCTATTTCACGGAATTTTTAAACTATAAAATCAAAAAGAAAAACAAAATACTAAAGAAAACAACAATGAAAAAACTTTTATCATCGAAAAATAGAAGAGAAAAAATTTGTAGAAAGTTATCGATCGCAGGGTAACAAAAAAAGGAAAAAAAAAAAGAAAAAGAAAGAAAAACCTAGCGGCACGTATCGGAGCAAATGTGTGGACTAACACGAATAAGGAATAAAAAGAAGATAATCACAACTATAATATATCGAAGAATAGTATTATTCAAAATTAGGAATCACCTTTTAAAAGATATATAAAAGTAAATACAACATTTACAAAGAGAGGAGATGAGAGGAGAGGAGAGAGAGAAAGAGAGGGAGAGAGAGAGAGTTCTTTGACTTGAGGAAGATTTATCTCGGACGTCGAGGGAGGTCGAGTCCGAGGCACTCGCGTGCGTCAGGGGCGCGCGCCACACCGTTAACGAGAGAGAAAAAGAGATAGAAACAGATCAAATCAAACGAAAGAGAGTGAGTGAGAGAAAGAGAGAGAGAGAGAGAGAGAGAAAGAGATGGCGCGTGGGAGCGCCAAGACGAGAGAAGAAGAACAACTTCGTCGAAGTCGAAGGTCGCGATCGATCTGAAAACTCTAAAAGACCCGTTGATAGTCGGTAACTGGTTGATTGGTTGGTTGCTTGCTTGACTTGATTTGTTGCTTTCTTTGATTGAACTAGTTGGTTCGGTTGCTTTTATAATTTAACTTGTTGGGTTGGTGCAAAAAAGAAAGAAGAAAAAACGATTAGAAAAATGTGAAGTCAATGGGAAAGGAAAAAGAAATAATAAAGGAAGGTGGTTTGAGTGAAAAAAATATGTGTTAAAGGAAGAAATATAAAGCGCGTTTAAATGGTCGTGTTGTGTAGTGTGGGATGTGTTAAACGCGAGCACCAAAGGAACACCGGTGCAGTCAACAGCGCACCGAGAGAGGCACTAGCAAGATCTCTCACCGAATCCCGGCTCGAGCCGCCTCTCCCTTACTGTGACGTCACGGGAACCAACCAAGCCGGGGATCGATGCTGAACGCGAACACCACCTCCGCCCCAAACTGTATCCTCCCAAACCGTACCTACACCTATACCTACCTACCTACCTACCTACCTACTGACTACACGGAAAACATTCGACTTTTATTCTTATCCCCAACTTTCTTTCTAACATACCCTTTGCCTTTTTTTCATTTATTTTACATTTTGTTATTATTAATATTATTATTATTAATACTATTACATCTACTTAATGTGTTTTATTTCTTATCACTTGTTTGAAATCTGATCAATGATCTTATTAGATGAGTGATTTCTATTGTTCTATCGTTTGGATTTAACGTCCTTCTTTGTATTAGAGCTAGGTTCGTTTTAAATTTCAAATATTTTGGATAATTTAGATACGTAGGGTTTTTATTTTTAAGCGAAGCGTACCTTTTTAAGATTATTTTTTGGAAAAAGGAAGATAGAAAAATAGTAGAAATGCGTGCTAAGGGACGAAGAACTTAAAAAGATGTGGTCAGAAAGGTCAAGGCGCCGCTGGACCAATGATAAGTCTCTCCACCTGTCGGCAGATCGACGACTCTGGTCTTCAAATGATTTCTTTACTCTATCGGTATATGCGGTAATCTTGATAAAAAAATTGTTGATGTCAAATTTATTAGTTTAGCTAAATATTTGATTATTTTTAACTGAACATTTTGATGTATTAAAATATCAAATATAGATAATAATTGGCATAGAATTTTGTAGACTTTTCCATCTAAAGTAAACGATATAAAATATTCAATATTTTGTAGCTAAAAAAAAAAAATAAAATTAGCTTTTTGGAAAAAATAAATTTGAGATAAAAGATAAATGCTAAATTATCAAAATGATTAATTTCTCAAACCATTGAGATTAAAAGATCTGAAGGAAGAGATGATATTTTCTATGGTAAAATCTTAAGTGCCCAGAAAAGTGTATGTATGAGATTGAACATGAATGAGTAAGATGGAAAGAGAAAGATGCATTTTTAACGTCACTCAGTGCTAAAGGGCAAGCGACGAGAATTTTGCATGCGCAAACTTTGCGAAACGTACTTTGAGATTGAAAAAACCGTGGCGGAATATATTATCCTCCATTCCTCTCCCATTCTTTCTTACTTTTTTTTCTTATTTTTATACACTTTCATACTTTAAAGTATAGTTTCATTTGCATTGTTAACAATGAACAAAAATATTTAAATTGTCAAATAAAAATATTTGAAGTGTCATTTATTATCGATGATCTATTGCACAAATTTAAATAAAATAAAAAACAATGATTATGATGATGATGATGATGATGATGATGATGATGATGATGAGGAGGAGGATAATGATAATGATAATGATGATAATGATAATGATAATGGTGATGATGACGATGAACAACGTCCTGGCATCCCGATTGGTCTTTTAAACTGCTACGTAATAGCTCGCCGATCGTAAACTCTCCGAGAGAGAGACTACGTGCAAGGAGTTGCATTGAACGGAGATGGAAGGTCAATGACCTTAGTTGTGCCAGTCCAGAGAGACGCTAATCCTAACCGGTCGTATGTACTTACATACATACATATGTACATACGTGCTTCCTTTCTTATATGTGTCTTTTGCTTTTCTTCAGAACTAATGTTAAGATTCTCAAAGACGATCCAACAAATTTCTTTTCTAAGTTTTTATACTCTCTACAAAAGAATTTTAAACTTACAAGATACGCTCAGATTTTTATCCTCCAAAATTATTTACCTAAATTTTGACCAAGATTTTTCTCTTATATTCAAACAATGTTTTTTTAATCCAAGACTAAAATTTAAAACTTATTTGAAGTATAAAGATAAACACTAGGTTTACGGGCATTGTCAATTTAAAGGGTTCAAGGGACTTCGCGTGTAAAATGACAGAAATCGTAGCTATTATTTTTTAGCAATTTTTCCTTACTTTTATTGATTAAATGATACAAGTATATATCTCCAAAACAATTTTTCCTAAGCTCTTTAATTTTCAAATATTGTATAATGCATATCAAAAATTATGTATTTTCTTTTACTGGTTAATATTACCGGTATTCAAAGAAATAGGTGTACAAAAATGTCTGTAAACCTAATGTTCACAAATTGATATTATACACCCCAACAAATAAACCCAACTTCATAAATAAATAAATAAATAATACATAACGAAAAAAAAAGAAAACATTTTTAAAGACTCACCATCGTTCCTGCCAAATATTCGTTGAACCTCACCGGCAGCTTCGCTTCCGCTTTCGCTTTCGCAAAGAGCAGGCCACTTCCGGTAATTATGAGCAGCAACGTTCCATCTCTGAGCTTGAATAACGTTTGATGGTTCCTTGGGTAAAGGTGGAAGTGGTCTATCCGCGTCATATTCTTGAGGTACACATTTAGAATTATTTTGAGGGATTCGATGATAAGCATAACTTGCTTCTAAATTACGCGAACAAGAAGTGGTAGGATGATAAGGGGTATAAATGATATCTAAATTAGGATCACGAATGAATACGGAATCGGTATCGGAAACACTGTCTTCGCTTCTGTGTCTTCTGGTTGGTGGTTCGGATGCCGTGCCATGTTTAGTCGGCCAATTACCATTGGGTAATTCATTGCCAACATTTTGATTAGAAAAACTAACTCTTTTCGTACCACTACTAGTATATTCGACGGAGTCACTGCTCACTAGACTTCCTCGTTTAAATATTGGATGAGGTCGAGGTTGCTTACCATCGTTATCGTTATCATCCTCGTAAGTGTAGGAAGAATTGTTATCGGGTTTGTTCAGATTACGATTAGCACGTAAATGGGGTGATGCGCTTTTCGATCTCCTAGGACTTAATCTGGAAGAATCGTCGACAGATTTGATTGGTAGCTCTTGTCGATCACGAATTGCCTGTTGAGGTCTAACTATTAAAATTGGTTGTGTCGAACCTTTTTGACCGTGCATTAAGTTAGGTCTTAATGGATTATTGGTTTTCGTAGCACGAGATTTTTCATTAGCCCAATAAGATCGATCTATATTAGAATCGGTTGATGCAGTATTAGGAATATTAGTATTAGTAATAGGGATGGTAGGTGGTGGTTGACGAATGTTTGATCGACCACTCTGGCGATTTGAAACTGATCTGGTTTCGAGTCTTCTATCTTCCATTAAATTTCTTTCATAAATTCGCCTTTGTTGTTCCTCGTCAAGTTTCTTCAACTGTTGCCAATAAACAGCTTCTCGAATTTCCGGTAAATTGATCTTCAGAGAAGTTTGTTTTTCACGATTGGTTGTTTCACGAATCTGTGAATCATTGTTGTTAGCTGGCAACCCAGTCTTTCGATGAGCTTCCAAAGCCTTCTGTTGCCAATAAAAAGCTTCGAGATGTTGCATAGTTCGTCTTTTCGTAGGTGATGTTGGATTACAATTGATTTGGCAATTAACTTGTCCATGATACACGTTACTTTCGGTAGGTCTTTGTCTTTCTGGTATCGGTTCACGTTGGAGAGAACCTTTGCTGGTATAAATCTTTTCTTGGCTCGAGACAGATGTAGTTGGCCCAGAAACATCACTAACGTTTCTCCTACATGGACTTGATTCCGTTCGTAAACGAGAAGTGGCGTAAACGGGTTCGGGCCTTTGAAGATTCTTCATCGTACAAGGTGTATTACCTGAAGCTGTTGGAATCATCGAAAACGGTGACAAACTTGCTGACCTATGACCCTGTATTTTGTCACGATTACGTTGGCCTTGATTTTCCTTACCTTTACACAAATTGGTCTCGGTAATCCTCTCGATACGTTCCTTGGGTGAATTGGATACCGTTATTGGTGATTCTGGACGTATACGTTCGAGATTAGCAAACGTTTTTCTATCATAAATGACTTCTCGTTTGGGTGAAGCTATCAAAATTTGATCACTGGGTTGTGCTTTTCTTTGCATTCCTCGTGGTGATGCCAAACTTTTGTTACTGTTTATCGAAGTTTTATTCGTTGCACCAACGTCACCCTCTTTTCTATTAACAGAATCATTTTCCCTGAGCGGGGAAGGCGGTGTCTCGTCGTAGACACGTTCTTCGATTTCTTCTTCGTAATCAGGATTCTTCGATGGTCGAGCAGTCTCATTAGCATAAATCCCTTCAGTCTGTGCGCCAGTAGTTGGCGATGTCCTCGCACTAGTTCGCGGCGAGTTAAGATAATATTCACCACTTTTCGAACTAGACGGTGAAAATTCACTCTTCTGACTGGAATTTGGAGTACAACAAGAATCAGCATAATCCCCCGACTTCTGGCTAGATACTGGAGACGAATATTTCACCGTTCTATCATTCGGTGAATCGATGACAATCGAAACAGCTTGCCTACTAGCATCATTATCATCATTTTCTCCACGTGAATCTAAATCCTGTGACTCTTCCCTTTCATAATTTTCATAATTGCATAATTCAATTCTCGAACGTGGTATCGCTGGAAGTGGTCTATCTATTGGTCGAACTACTACTGATTTATGAAAAAATCTTTCATTAGGTGGTGCCGAAATCCTTCCGGATGGTCCGTGATTTCTTTGAAAGAACGTACGACCACGATTCGCTTCTTGAAGACTATGTTTACGTTCTAATTGTCTTCGGTAGTCTAACTCCCATCCCGTTTTATTTTCCCCTTCTTCAACTATATTTCTCACTTCGTATTTGTTTTTATCAGGCGATAACATTTTTTTATCGTACCATCTGTCATCCGGACCGATGGACCTTGGACTGGAATCATTTGCACGATATTTAGTTTGCTGTATCATCTTCGTTCTTCCTTCGTCATTTAATGAAAAATGATCAGGAGTACTAGTGATCAATCCTTGATCAGGAAACAATTCGCGTTTGATCTCGTCTAATCTTTCTTCGATTATCGATCCGTTCAAACTGTTATCTAATTTAACGTTCCTTTTGATATCCTCGTTCAAATTCATAGTGTCCGGTGATCTAGTGTAATTACCATTTTGTTGGTAACGAGTAAAATGTCTCTCGTCCTGTTTCCTTCTCTCCTTTCGTTCCTTCTTTTTATTGTAATCCTTGCGCGAATCTTTCGGGGAAAAAAATCCTGGTAATAATCTTCTCAAACCGGATTTCTTTTTTTGCTTCTCTTCTTTCTTTACTCTGGATACTCCTGGCTCCATCGTAAATTGTCTTATCAATTTGGCGTAACCGTCTTTCGTATTTGTTGTTGTGTTTGCTGTTGCTATCAATGATGATGATGATGATGATGATTTATCTTCCTTACAATTGATTTCCTGCTTAGTATGTTCGCAAGGTATCATCAACCGCTCGTTAACCGTAGATAAATCGTTGTCGAATGATCTATTCGATGATCGATGATCTATATCCTCGTTTAAAAGTTGTTTATCCTCACCATCCAAACCAGAATCCGAACCAAAAGTAATTACAATGCTACCTTCTAAAAATTCTTCCGAACGTCTTCTTATCGATCCTTCTTGATCGTTTAATTGTACGTTCGAAAAACTTATCTGTCCTTCTTCGATTATACTTTCACCCGACGATGCGCTACCAAATTCTTCAATATAGGATGATTTGGAAGACGACGAATTAGATCGGTCATGATTGTTTCGCGATTTGCAACGAAGAAATTCACCAGACCATCTTCTTTCTATTTCCAATACTTTTTTACTGTAACGCGGTTTTCTGTTACTTTCTTCGATCTCTAATCTCTCGTCTAATTTTTGACGTTGTAAAAATTCAGGATCGAATGATATTTCGCTCAAAGAATTCGTATCGATTTCTAAGGATGATCTTAAAGGACGATTAGATAATTCTTCGCTGTAACTCAACGCAGTAATAGCATGTATCTGTGTACCTAGATTATCTTGCAATACTTTAATCTTCGATCTACTTTCCGTCAAACGATCTAACGGACTCTGCTTAGACTTTTTCTCATCTTCATCATCCTCCTTATCAACTGATGTTCTATTCTTATTAAATTGTTCCTTTTTTATCGAAATATCTTGATCATTCTCATTGGAAACTTTTCTATTTACTTTGTGTTCTTTGATTGTCAAGTTTTTTGGATCCAAACCTTTGACTACCAAAGTACCGATCGTTGGACGTTTGATCAATCTAATTGGCTTGATTTTTTCATTCAGTGATGGAAATGAAGGTCTATCCTTAATGAGCAAGTTTTCTTTTTTTTTTTTAATATTATTATTATTATTATTATTATTATTATTATTATTATTATTTTTATTTCCTTCTTCTTCTTTTTCTTTTTCTTTTTGTTCAATGGTCGTTAATTTTTCCACTTTATGAACGCGTAATTTCGTAGATATTTCTTCTTTTCCTTCGATTAATATTAAATTTCTATTCTCGTACTTGTCTTTTTCTAAATTCTTCTCATCGGTCCGTTTGTTTCCTGGCTCCATTCTCGATCATATACTTGTTATCGTTTAGATACGCCTGCGAAAGTAAAAGGTATTAAGTAATTCGACACTCTTACTGTCTTTTTTGCATTCCAACCTTTCTAATATATTTAGAAAGAGAAAAAAATATGAAATATAAATAAATAATCGATTTACTATAAATTTATTTTTTATTAAACTGTATTTTTTATTTAGAAAATCCAATTTAGAATTCAAGTATAAATTTTTCAAATATTTACGAGGGTGTATTGTAAAATGTTTAATTTAATACAGAAAAAATTTGTTTTATCCATCATATTCACTTTAAAATTTTTTATTTTTATTTTAGGAAAGAATAGGCTCGAAATTTTTCAACCCATCCTCGTATATACAAAAATATTTTATTTAAAAACAAATGTAATTTGATATTAAAAGAATATTTGCGTGGGTGGATTAAAAGATTTCCAGTCTAGCATAAAAACAATTTGTTTTGTCGGTCAAATACAATTTTATTTTTATTTTAATTTCCTTTTTAATTTTAGAAAAGAATAGCCTCGATACTTAACAATCTAGTTTCGTATATAAAAAAATTTGTTATTAAAAACACAATGTTAAAAATTGAAAAGTCATCACAAAACTATATATTATATATAAATAATTTTCGAATTCGAATTAAAAGCGACCTAATATTTTTCCTCGATAAATTTCAAGTTTATCTATCCATATATTTACACACTACAGTAAGCACAAATCACACAGAAAAATGCGTTGATATCTCGAGATAGTATCAAAAGATAATCATTTGTGTGTTACATTTTTTGTTAGATTGTGAACATAAAATATAGTTGAAGTTTAAATTTGAAAATAAATTTATTCGAGACTAAAATTAATAATCTATTGTTCACTTAATAATTCAGAAATTATTAAATAATTCAATGTCATCATTTTTCATACACTATAGTCAAGTATTTCAATTATTCATGATAGAGAAATAAAGCAAATAATAATAAAAAAGGATAAATGAAGAAAAAAACGACAAACTAACAAAAGATAAAACGTTCTTTAACTTTCCACGTATCTCCGTTATCGTACTGAAGAAAATGAGAGTACTGAACATGATTACTCGCCACGAAACGCAATATTCTTCGTCGAAATCTATCCAAGGATATCGACTTACTACTTGTACCTATACTGCATTCATACATACATGCATGCATGTATAGTTGTTGAGATATCGTTGTTGAGAAGAAATGACGTAAATCACATTACGTTTCACTCAAATAATACTCTTTTATATAATTCTTCTTTCTACATATATATACATGACAACTATATCACATAATACACGAATCAAAAGCAATCCTCATCGAGCTTAATCATTTTGTAAATCACTATAAAATCAATATCTCACATAGAATATAATGTTTTTATTTATATCACAATTATTTTTCCTCCCATTTAAAAGAAAAGAAAAGAAAAATGACGACAAATTAATTCATCAAAAATTAATGATTTAACTGACATAAAGAGACAGAAGTATGTACTTGTGTCTATGTTTCTATGTATGAGTAATGACAATAATAATAATAATGAAATTAATGAGATAAAAAGGAGAAGAAACGTGACAGCAACGACGATGTCTCTAAACCGACTGACTGCTGTGAGTAGCATGATCGCTACAATGTGGATATAGGATAGTGTGAAAGAGTGAGAGACAAATAGATAGATAGATGGATAGATAGAATAAGAGAAAAAGAGATAGAGATAGAGAAGGTGGGGCAAGTAACATATATACACGCACGAGAAGTTGCGATCACGAAGAAGGACTGACAGAGTTCAGTTATCTCTTTCTTTCGTTCTCTTTCTTTCTCTTTTTATTTTTCTCTTTCTCTTTCTCTTTCTCTTTCTCTTTCTCTTTCTCTTTCTCTTTCTCTTTCTCTTTCTCTTTCTCTTTCTCTTTCTCTTTCTCTTTCTCTNTCTCTTTCTCTTTCTCTTTCTCTTTCTCTTTCTCTTTCTCTTTCTCTTTCTCTTTCTCTTTCTCTTTCTCTTTCTCTTTCTCTTTCTCTTTCTATCTGTCTTTTTCTGTTTAGTCCAAGCAAAGTCTCGATGAGGAAGGCTCGTCGTGTATGAGTGTTAGTCCGATAACACACGAGAAGTTACAGGTAACGCGTTATTTACTCATGACACATCGTACGATTCGACTAATATGACTCAGTGATTCTCAATTTGTATTTTTGTACATTTTACTTTTTATTGTTATTAGTTTTTATATGTTTTTTTGCGGTACTAAAATAATCGAACCTCTTCTATTGGTTTTTGAACCAATAGCACATACAGAAACATATCTTAATTGTATTTAATTTATTATTATTTTTATTAACATCATACTAATAACAATTTTAATATACACTTTTGTAAAGTAAATTCAAAAAAATGTACAAAAAGAATGATCTAAGTAAGTTACTGGCATAATTGTTTCCTAACATCAGTTTTACAAAAGACCCTATATTATACGCATAAGCCTAATCAAATTAGCAAACAAACTGTGAAAAAGAACTTGCTAACTTCTAGATATCGTATGGACAAATCTAGTGAGAGTTCAAAGCTGTACTAAATCAGACACAGGTGGTAGAAGAAAAATGCAGAGGAAGGAGAAAAAAAGGAAGATAAGAATAGCACGATCGGTGAGAAGCAAGGAAAGCTTTGTGTTTGGTCTTAACAAAAAGAAAAAAAAGAAAAAGTAAAGGTTATCGAACATTTCTGTGGAAGAAGATCCTCCTTCTACTTGGAGAAAAAGATGAAAAAAAAGAAAGATGTGAGGTTCAAGGTTTACGGTTTCTTTTGGGTCCATTCTGAGCATATTTTGGGCCCTAGGAGGGTTGCCAGTTGCCATCTGCTCTTTCCCCATCACTTATCTTCCTTTGAAGATTTTCGAATTCTTTCGAAAATTCCAAGCCAAAGAATTCACTTACTTTTCACGTGATATATATATTTATATATAATATTTATTTAGAGTCAATAAAAAATAAACAAATAATATTTCTTCCTGGATATCTTAGAACGTTAGGGTGAAGATGGAATATAGAATAATCGAGTATAATAATCAGAAGGAAGAGAGGATGGTAGATTCAAAGCAATGAACAGTTTATAACGAGGAATTTCCGGCTTCGAAAGCTTCGCTACGTTAAATAACATGCCATTGAAATATCTGTATGGTTAACCCTGCAAATTGAACCTTATGTTAAGAATATAAAATATTTATATTTTTTCTCTATATTTTATTGCCTAACAAAAATTATTATTGTACTTATACTTAACAAAATTATACCGTGTATATTAATCTTATTATTTGTATTATTTATAAATACTTAGTTTTACTATAATAGAATATAATACACTTTTGATATAGTATTAGTATATAATTTTATATAATATAAATAATACTGTCATGTATGTATGTGACACTATAAATGATTATTATAATTTGTTTTTACTTACAATTAATATAATAGAATTTATAGAAATGTAACTATATTAATTGTATTTTAAGTGTTTAAAAATACATTATTAAAATATTAAAATATATGGAATTGTAAAAATAAAATATTTAAAGATTAATAAAGAATAAAAGACCAAGACAGAAAAGTGATTATTGAACTCGATATTATATTTCTTCTTTTATTTCGATCCATGCTCGTGTGCATTTCCGCCCGAGGAAATCCCTGCTTTGTTTATTTTGGTCCAGACTTAGGTAGAACTCCTTCCCTTCATCTCTCTTTTGAAAGAGAAAGAAAATTATTTCTGGCCTAGCGGAAGAAAGAAAGAAAGAGAGAGAAAGAAGGAGATCTCTCTTCCCTATCCTCGGAAGTAAACTCTGAATCGTTCCCTTTGGAAGTAAACTTTCTGAATCAAAACACTAACTTAAAACATTAATCCTATGCAAATCTTAACATTCAGCTATTTTTCCTATATTCACTTTTTTTAATTTTACATTATACCACACCTTTATATATCATCTTTTTAAATATAAATAACAATTAGTTTAGTTTTATTATTGTTAATTGTACTATACTAATTGTAAGTACAAAAAATATTTTGTTCTTTATCCTTTAAAATAAACTCTGAATGATTTCAAGTGATTTTTTGTAAATATTATTTTATAGTACACTTATTTGTTGATATAATTTTACTACTATTAATTATATATTATATTATACTATTCTGTGCTATACTAATAGTAAGTAAAAGAAAAAATACTCACATATTACTATTAATCGCAGTATATGCAAAAAACTACTTATAGCATAATTAACGATATAATTTTAGGAGGCAATCAATATCCTAATAAATATTTGAATACAATATATACCTTTATATTCTATTATTTTAATTGAAACTTTGACCTCTCCACAAACGAAAACTTTTAATGAAAAAATAAAAGTTGACTTGACCTAAGAAAAAAATTGTTTCTATGTTCAGCTTCAGACATTTTAATTCACGTATATGTATGTATCATTATTATACACACCATAATATAACCCACACACATTATATAAATATATATTATATTATATAATAAATATAAACCGTAAATGTATATATGGTATAAGTATAGATTGTACGGAGAAACTGGATGCTGACAGCTGTAAACTGGTTTCGAGAGAACTGTGCTACAGCAGTAGAAGAGAAGTAGACGGTTCGAGAGAGAAAGAGAAAAAGAACAAAGCGACCTGAGAGAAACAGAGCAAAAGAGAAAGAGAATCCTGCCCTCTCATCATAATCGTTTCTTTCGAAAAAAAAACCCATCAATGTTCAATATATAACTGTATCAAACTGTACCCATCATTTTCTGCAAATTCCAACAATTTCGATCGAAATTGTAACTTTTGAAAATACTGACACGTTCTGTCCTTATCTGTTCCGTATTTGAACCTTGATTCGTATTCAATAAAGTACAATGGGATGTAACAGTAAATGTGAAAATGACAGAGGGTATTGAAGAAAGTCCAGTTCTATTTCTGTCCCTTTATTCTTCACCCAGTACTTTGAGAAAGAGAGAAAGCAAGAGAGAGGGAAATAAAAAAAAAATAAACATTTAAACAAACTTTAAAATTTTTAAATTTTCTATTCCTATCGATCATCAAAGTCAATTCGAATTACGCGCCAATTGGTACGATTGTATAAACAAAAAAGCAACAACAAGCAAAATGGATCCATTCGATTGTTCTTATCATAAAACTTTTTTTATTATTCATTTTCTTTTACGACAAATATAAATAATAATAAAAATAGTATTATTATTAATATTAATAATAATTATAATAATAATAAAAATTAAAAAATAAGATATTTCGAACTTACCATTGTTTGAATTTCTAGAGACAAAATTGAAAAGAAAATTGGAGATTTTTTGGAAACACAAAGAAACAAAACTGGAATAATATGATCCAAATTTACCGAAACTTGAGCAATTTGATTCAAACACCTTCTCTTGTTTTCTGACTCGCACTATTTCTCTCTCACACTCTCTTTCTCTCTCTCACTCTTACCGTTTCGAACGCACGCGCGAACGAGAGAAAAAGAGAGGGAGGATTTTAATTTGAACTATTGAAACGGACTAGCGTCGCGGCGCGAGGACGACGCAACAAGTGACAGCTCCGGCTGCCGCCGCTCAAAACGCCATTGCTATTCTCGCGCCTCTACCGGCTTTCCTTTGAACTAATCGATTTTCGATTCTCCTACAACCGCAACTGATTTTTTTTGCTTTCTTTTTTTTTTTTTATGAATTTTTTTTCACATTTCTTACTTTATTTTATTGTGAAATATACTTACCTCGTATTTACGTACTTCCTTGTATTTACGTTGTATGGGTTGAAATATATCCGGTTTGCATGTAGATCGAATGTTTGTTATCGACCAGATTTATGTAATAATAATTTTATACTCATATTTTGTTTTTATCTTTTTCAGAGAAAGTCGAACGATCGTTATATACCTTTAAAACTAACGGAAATTACTAACCGAAAGTATCATTGAAATCCTTAACGATCTCTAGTGGTTGGTTCCATTAAAAACATTTTAATCTTGTTGGTAAGGAAGTTTGTCGATAAAAAATTTTCACGCGCGATGTCGCCACCTGTCATATTTTCGATATATTATTCGATTTATATATCGAACTTTTTTTTTAAATAATAATTTCCGCTTTTTTCTATATTTATTTTTTTCTTTTTTATTTTCTTTCGATTTTATGCGTAAACAACTAAGATTCATATCTAAGTATATATCTGTAGATAGAAAAGTGTAAATAATATATATTATAACTTATATAATTAAATAAATAAACCATCATATAGAACTAGTTATTGAAATTTCTCTTTGCAAATTTTATAATATAATTTTTTTTTGTAAGTATTTTAATACAAGACATAAAAATATTTGAGAATAAAAAAATTCTTATATAAATTCCGTAATATTTAAAAAAACAGAAAAAAATCTTATCACAGAAAAAAAATAACGAAAAAGATCAACAAATTAAATATTCCCATCAGTTCAAGAACAAGCCCATGAATCCGACGAAAATTCCCACATAAATCTTAACGTTAGAATCGAAATAGAAATCAATTATGCGTACACGTTCCTCACATACATCTTCATTGACTTCATTTACGTGTCTGACCAATCATCGGCTATGACTACTCATACTAATAAAAACGTTACCTTTCTTTACGCATACAAAAAACGTGAAGACGAATCAAACAGCAAATATTTTTTTTCAACCGGCAAGAAAGAAAAGGGAAGAAGATCGAACGTAAATATGTCTGTTCATGGAGAAGAGAAGAAACAAGGGGTGGGGGTTATTACGGTGAGGGGGTGAAGTGGAGTGGGGTGAAGATTCAGAACCGACATTCTCGTCTACGGGTTTACTACGTCGAGACACTGGTTCGCAACTTTACTTTCACTGTTTATGCTCGTTTCTTCGAGACAACGAATCAAATCGATGGATTTCGCATATGTGATGCTAGACACATGATTTAGACACATCAAATAAATCAAATATATATTTGATGATAATTGATTTTTGATCCTTAGGATATAACCGTTCGATTTTATGAAACGATCGAATACGTAATCGAAGTCAAAATTTAACAAATTAGGAAATAAAAAAAAGAAATAAGAAAAATAAAAGTTACTATATCGTCTACTTAAATTGAAAAGCGAAAGAGAAAGTTTAAAAGAAATCTTGTAATAATATTATTGTTTCCAGGTACGCGTATGTGTGGTATGTAAAATTTGGGAATTAAATAAAAATAAAAATATAAAATTAAATTAAATAAGAATTAAATGATATCATTTCATTCGCGTATTAAAATAAATAATAGAGTATAATTTGTTTAATAAAAGTAGTATTAATGAGCTATATATGAATGAAAATTAAAAATTGCTACAAATATTGCTCGATTTTTTCTTTCACTTTAACCAATTTATTGTTAAATCAAATGTAATTATTAATTCTCCATCGTATTACAAATACTTTCTACCAATTAAAAATACGTTATTACATTACCAAATATGTTTATATTACAAAAAGAAATATATTATGGAAATATTTCAAAGAAAAAAATAACACAGAAATAGACTCGACAAGAAAGTATGCCAAAAAAAAAAGATTAAAAGGAAATATCGGTGATAATATATTCAGGATTTTCCATGGATGGTAGAAACACAGATGGGGTACGGGATGACGTTGGATTTCCAAAGTGTGTGGTTTATAGTAATGGGTATAAAGATTTTAAGATGGGCAGAAAAGGGAGAGGGGTTACGGAGGGGGTTTGCAAGGGGGGATTTTGCCAGAAGGATGTAACAAAGTTAGTAGCAAGCAACAAACTCGCTTGCCTCTTGCGTGGGAAGGATACGAGCAAGTCACACGTACGAGATACGTGGATGGGATTCGGCACGAGTGGTTCTCTTTGGCAGAGTGAGAGTGCCATATATATAGAGAGAAGGGGAAACTCGACTCGGCACTCCAAAGCACACAGCCTCCGCGATTGCAGTGGTGTGCTTGCTTTCGTTTTCTCTTATACCTCGTTTCAATACATATATCTGTATGTATATATAAATCTACACACATATATAAACATATATATATATATATACAACAAGCATATATATATATATTTATATATGTATATATAATATCAATATCTATATAGACGGGTATTATATAAAAAAATATATTTCGTTGCTATTGTTATTTAGTTTCGTTGTTGTTCCTGTTATCGTTGGCTGTTGTTGTTACTGTTGCTGTTACCGTTATCGCGTTTATAGTGCAAAAAGGTTTTCAAAGTTTTGCCCCTTTTACGTTGGGGACTATCGACGTTGTTAAAAAAAAAGAAACAAAAACAAAAATATATTGCACGTTGATAGAACGTACGACGCCTTTTTTGTTTTTAGCCTAATACATTTTTTTTTAAACATATTTTTTAAAGAAGTCCGATCAATCGGCTTACCACAAACCAGGAACGAAAGAATCTTCCGCCACCATGAAACTTACGCTGTTCACGTGAGTACGACATTTACCCCTTCCTGTTTGTCATCTTCCTCCCCCTCCACCATCTCTCCTTCTAATCTATTTATCTATTATCTTTACCTACTATCCTTTATTTACTTTATTTTTATTTTTCTAATCTTCTATAACGATTTGTTTAATCAACTAATACTTCCTTAAAATAGATCAAAGTTATGTTATCTAACCTGTTGATCAATTTAAAATTTAGATTGGGATTGGTTCATTCTATTTTTTTGTCAATCAAGGCCATTTAAATAAGTCTAGTCATGGTGTGTGCGTATGTGTTAGTGTTACTACGCATGTAATACTCATAACATTCACATATTAGAATGCTCGGTTTCCTTATACTTTCCATGGTTATGGTAATTACTAGATTCGACTAGCTGTTACGCGAGAAAATCGTATGTCTAAGGTAAAAGGCCCGCGGAATTAAACGCACACATGCGCGCTTGCACTCTATCCTTGCTTGCGTAAATGCGTTATATGTACATAACGCATTTATATATATGATCTTTCTCTTTCTATCACTTTCGATCAGGATTGTAGTAATAAAAAAAGAAATAAATTAAAAAACACCATAAAACAAAAAACGTAGAAAACGTATAACGTATTCAATTAGAAAATGAATTTGATGTTAGAATCGTATCACACTACCCTTCTAAAATACTCGAACGATGTAAGTAAATTTTTTTTGTTTTAAAGAAAAAAGAAAAAGAAAAGAAAAAACTTTCGATTTCTTGACAGAGAGAAAGAGAAAGATTTATATCAAAGAAAAGTTTATGGAAATGTCACCTCGTTTACCGTTGTTTCTCCTTGACATTATTCCAACTACGTGTCACGCATACCATTGGCTATACTATAGTTCAATAGGGAGAAAGGGAGGAGGATATTGTCACAATATATGTGTAAAAGATTTTTTTTTCCATTCATCTCTATTGACACTTCCTCCTACGATCATTCCTACGAGAAAAGATTCTTTTAACTATGCTTCAATTGATGTCAGAAAAAGAAAAGAAAAGAGAAAGAGTTCAACGTTGAACGTCGTTTAATTTGTTATATCAATTGTTCATTTAATATTTAATTCAACTAAATAATGAAAGAAAAAGAAAGGCAAAAATATTAGAAACAAATGCAATTCTTTTTATCAATTTAAAATTAATTTTTAATCAAGCAAATTTAGAGAGAAAAAAAAGAAATGTTTTTAAAAATAAATGCTATTTATATATAAAGTAATAATTTTTAATTAATTTCTTACCCATTAAAATGAAAAAAGGAAAAAAAATGTTTTTATATGAATCTATTCTATTAATTTTAAATTAATTTCTAATGAAATAAAATGGAAAAGAAAGAAAAAAAATTATTTCAGAAATAAATTGAAAATTCTTCTATATTCATTATCTTTGTAATAATCTTCATCTAATTAATTTTTCCTTTTTTCTTTTTTTCTCTATTTTATTTTTATTTACTTCTTGTTTATATTATTAATTGTTTTTCGATAGGATGTTATAATTGCAATTACGACTACAGTAAAAGCCGAACCAAAAGTGTTGCGTCAATAAATCGCTAAAGGGCAAACGTGAATAAAAAACGAATCGGGAGTTATCGTTGTGTGTTATTCGTGGAAGTGTCCATTTTTTCTCCATTTTTTCTTCTTCTTTGAATTCTTCTTCTAAAAAAAGAAAAAAGAAGATGCTTGTCTTATGCTCTTAGCAACTACTGGTCGTTAACTAGCTGCCGTTGTAAAGATGGCCTCGCTTATTACTCATTTTCTTTTCTTTCACTTCTTCATATACATACATCCACATATTGTACAATATCTTTATATATAAAACAAATTATGGAGATTTATGATCGTCCTTGTCGAATGATTACGTAAATTTTTTCAATTAATTAATTATCGATGATCCAAGTCTAGAAATAGAAGAAAGTTATTATAATTTACGCAAGATTTTCTCTTTTTCAAATTCATTTTAAAAAAATTCGAAACTCCGACGCGATTGAACGTCTACGTTTATAGGATTCACTTTTAAATTATCAAAAAATATTTATCTATTTTTTTTGAGAGAGAGTTCAAGATTTACGGGAGACAATTAAAAGAACATTTGAGCTGTTGCTGTAACTATTACTGTAATGTTGTTCCTGTTATTGCTGCTTTTGCTGTTTGTGTATTTTCTTGACATTTGTGAGTTGTTTCACGCACAAACGTTTGACTTCGTAACGACAGAAAGACATAGCCAATCCCCTTGGTGAAACAGGGACCTCAGTTGTACAGGGACCCAGAGAGTCAGAGAAAGTGAGTTTCGTACGTTAATGTCACAGGTCAAAGTCTACTATGGTGTATGTGTACGTGTATGCTTTCGACGAATGTTTTCGCGAAAGTTCCACATATATACGTAATAAGTTTTTACATATAGTATATATGTATAACTAATTAAGCATATCGGATGTGCATTGAGTATCCTAATAAAAAATTCAATGAAATTTTCATCTAAATCAAACCAACATTATTGCAAGAGATTTCTATGAAAATTTCAAGATAAACTGAAAAAACATAGTCTGTTGTCGTATCTCGATTATTATAGCACAAATCGTGCAGCACGCTTAAATCAGCTACAGTAACAGTAGAAATAACTAGCAACAGCAGCCATTCACCCTTCTCGCAAAAGAGCCAACCGATTATCACCAAGTTTCTTTTATCGTATTGGATCCGGTCTGTTGCGGCTGTATCCTAGTACTACGAGGATAAATCATTTTCTTCGTGTTTGAAAGACAAAGAAAGAAGAGAAATGTAATCTGTAATATTTTCTTAGCATCTAGACGGTATATTCTCGACGGTGGTAAAAGCGTATCTCGAGAAGGAACTTTGGTAAGGAATCGAATAATGTGCAGGAACTTAAGGAGTGAAAGTAGAATCTAAGGAACGTAAGAACGCCTACGGTAACGTAAGAACATCGTAACCTTGACGAGAGAACATTTTATTCAGTTTAAGTTCCATGATCTTTCTAAGATTCTTTCTCTTTCTCTCTTTTTGATTATATTAATACTTCAACTTGAAGTTATTTTTAATCATAGGGAAATATTATTACTTGGATTGTATTAAGTTCCATTGATACCTATTTAAGTGTCTATTTTATGGAGTATGTATTATTTTAATTGTTTAATTAAACTTTTAGGTAAAAATTAATATTGACAAAAATTATGATTTCTGTCTAAATAAAATTAATACTTTTAACGTCTAATTGTTATTTAAAATTTGTAAATAATTAATATTAATTGTGTATACCATTCTATTACGTTTCAAATTATTCCTTACAATAATATTTAATAATTATTAAATGTATAAAATATATATATAATGCTTTAACCAATTTACCTGTATAACATCTTTTTAAATACAATTAATTGTCTTAATGTGTTATTATTTTATCTATTGAATATCTAATGAGTATCTATTGATTATTTTTTAGAATTTAATATTAATTATGTATTCCATCCTACATGATACCAAATTATCCCTTAAAACAATATTATTACAAATTATAAAAAATCAATAAAAGATAGTAATTATTGTTTTTTTTTGTAATTTCAGATTATTAGCTTTGTGCCTAATAGCTACCTGTAGATCGGCTGAAGAGGAATACGATTATGAAGAAGAATCTGCAGCAGCTGTTGTAACCCCAGCTCCAACTAAACCAGCAGCACCGGCTGCTAGATTGGGAGGACTGTTATCGTCGAGAGGACGAGTCAATGTCGGAGGAAGAAAAGCAACACCGGTATGTTTATTTTCGATGTTCTCCCTTTTTTTGGTTTCTTAATTTTTCTACTCGTATTTAACGTACAAAGATGTAAACATTCCATAGACTCAATCTACGACCGCTAAACCAGTCGAACAACAGCCATTAGAAGAAGAAGAAGAAGCTGAGGAACCACTTGAAGATATTCACGAACAAGAAGAAGTCCTCACGACCACTACTGAATCTTTAAAAAAGGTTCGAAGCGGTGTCAGACCTTTCAGGTATTTTTTTTTTTACATATATTATTAATTTATCATTTTGTTTTTTTTTTATCATAATTTTTTCATTTGATATTCTTGTATTCCTCGAGAAATTTAATTTACTTAGGTTTCACTAAAAATTACATTATATCTTAAAAATATCTTTCAATAAAATGTATATACAAAAAAAAAGAAATATTTATTGTAATTACATGGCTGACAGAGAATGGAATATAAGTAACATTTTTTTATAAATTTATTTTTGTTAAGATCAAACGAGGATTTAATAGCAGCTTTAAAGAGAAGACGTGCTCAGACTGGTCCAATTAGTCATTCTAAAGAATCCTCAGGGACACAGGCGGCTCAAACGGAATCAACAACTCCCAAGTCGAGGTAATTTGAATTGAAATAAAATATTTGAAGAATTCTGCAAACGAAGTTACATTGTTATTTTCTTCATTTTTGTCAAAGAACGTCATCGAGCAGCCGTAACAAAGCTAATGGAAATTCAGGAGGAGAATCAAGGACAACTGCGACGAGCCGTGGTAGATTCGGTTCATCGAGAGGTAAACCCGTGCAAGAAGAAGTCGAGGAAACGCAACAAGAAGAAGTCCAAGTGAAACCTAAACCTTATCGCAGGGGATAAATATCTAAAGGTTTCTTTTAAAATTAAAATAAAAAAAGGAAAAGAGAGAGAGAGAGAAAAAAAATAGAGAAATGGTCATCTTTCTCTGACCAACCTTTTTTAAGCAAAAGCAAAAAGTTCCGAGTTTATTGAAAAAACAAAGAAACAAAAAAACAAAAAAAAAACAAAAAAGAAAAAGGAAGAAAAATTTCTTTTTCAAAAAATACGATTTTAATCTTCGTCCTTGTCCATCTCTATCCTAGACCATGCCTTTTGCTTTTGCCTACATTAGAAATAGACATATAAAAATATGTTAAATAAAAATCCATATATGGTGGTATTTTCTTTCTGATGTAAAAATAATCTATGCAAACGAAAGACAAGTATTATTTTTGTAATCGAGCTTTTTTTTAGATTTCATCTTTAACGTCTTGATATACTCTTATCGAGCTATTAATTTTATATTTCTTTTATATAATGCAAAAAAGGAAAGTTCGTTGATAGAATTTTACTGATGAAATCATCGACGAGGTTTCATTATTTTTTTGATTATTCCTATTAGGTAATTTTAAAGTCATATAAAAAACTCATATGTTGTTTTTTTTTTTTTAATAGATCCCACGTATTCGATCATACGACGATCTTTATAGACATATAAATAAGTATACATACATGTATAAATAAATAAATAATTAATAGTTAAGAGCAACCATTTGTTTCTAACGAAGACGTCTAGTGGTTGCTGTATAAATGTAAATTAAATATGACACGTGAAATAAAATGATTTCAAAATAATCAATGCACGCATATATATATATATCATTAATAAATAATGTCTCATAAATTATAGAATACTCAGAGAACATTTTCAATCCGATAATGCTAATAAATGAATGAAATTAAAAACATAACTTCAGATTTTCGTCAGACTTAAAAAGCTGATTTTTATTTGTATTCTTTTTTTTAATTGAATTTTCCTCTTCCTTCTGGTATCACGAAATTTGTAAAAGTGATACATTATGGCCTTGATTGCATATAAGACTGTAAAATCATTACGATAAGGGACGATGAACGAGCTAAGAATTCAACGAGAGTTCGTTCGTTCAGGGAATGCTTTGGCCGAAATACCGAAAGAAGAGAGAATCTAAAGGAACGGGGTTGAGAGGGGTAAAGGAGAGAAGGAGAGGAAAGGGGAATGTATTCGAGAAAGAGAGAGAAAAGACGAATGTTACTCGAAAGTGAGAGGAGGTCGCATCTCGACGTCCTTGAGGTGTCTTCACGAAGAATATTTCGCGAACTAACGAAAGCGAATGAAAGAAATAACACACGTTTACCAATCCTACGACATATCGTATGTACGATTATGTGTTTTTAAAGTTTAATGATTCTCAGAGTTTTATATATTAAATTTTTCTAATAAAAAATGTATAGAAAATAAGGAAGGAAGATTTGTTTCTATTAAGGATTATATAATTTCTTTATATATATATATATTAATTATTATTGAATAATAATAATAATAAGTACAATGGTAAGAGTGAAATAAGTTTGACAAAGTTTTAATATTATTATTTGATAATGATTAATATAATTAAATATTAATTGAATAGAGAAAAATTAAATTAAAATTTTTAATATTTTCATGTTTGGAATTAACATAAATAGTTAGTAATAATAGTAATCGTTAGAGTCGGATAAATTAGATTAACGATGTTTAACGTATAGAAATGCATATCACCCACGTTAAAATTCTAATAAGAAATAACAAACGAATCCTGTTAACCTATTCACTTGTAATCCTTGATCCGGTCAACATTCCAAAGAGAAATATTTTCCAGTTGAAAACAAGGTCCGTTAGAAACGACAAAGAAAGCAACGCGGAAAGCATAGAAATAATACTAATCGTCAAGATTATCACATATATGTATAACTCGGCCGAGAATTTGATGATTGAATCAACGAAAAAAGAAAGACTAACAGAAAGAGTAAGATCAAGAGAAAGAGTGAGAGAGAGAGAGAAAGAGATGATGAGAAAGGTAATTTGCACGATGAACTTACGTAACCAAACATGATTCTCTCTCAAGTAAACGTTAAGAAAAGCTGCTCACTGACCTTTCGTTAATGTCGTTAGGACTACGTGGCAATGGAATCTTCAAGATTTCTACAATTTCCTTTTCTGTATTGACGATCACCTGAAAATAATACATCGATAATAAATGTGATTTCAATTTTATTATCTTATTATATATTTCATTTTCTTATTTCCGTGATATCTATACTTTTGATATAATTAATATCTGTCATAAGTGTAATAATATTAATAATAATGTCTATTTAGCTTCACAACCAATAAAAATTTGATTTACAATTACATCATAATTTATTAATATACTATTATATATCGTAACTTCATTATTAAATTATATAACGAGACTATAGTACCTTGATTATGTCGATAGTAAATTGGATTCTTTAATATTTAATTACATTTCTATTATTTGTGTGTTATATAATAATAATAATAATAATAATAATAATAATAATAATAATTCATAATTAATATAAACAAATATTTTATATTTAATTATTATAAATAAATTATTTCTATAACGGTAAATAAAATATTAATATTTGATACAACGAAGTTCAATTTCAATTCAATTGCGATGGAGTTTTGTAATTCGATGAAAAAAAGGGTATTATTCATATATAGAAAAATCTCTCTCTTCGAGAAAGCTTGCTTATTAAAGAAAAATCGATCATTGGTAATAAAAGTTCGTCCTTGCGAGATCCTATACCTACGCGAAATCAGCACGCGGATGGATGCGATATCAGGGAAAGCGGATAAAGAGCAATGCTCGAGAGAAAGTCTTTCCTTTTCTTTTTCTTCTTCTTCTTCTTCTTCTTCCTTTCATACACAAACACAATATTCCTTTTATTTTCTTTACTTATTATTCATTCATTTCTTTTTTCTAAATATTTTTGTATAATTTTTCATTTGATTACACGAATATTTTTGTTCAGTTTGAAATACATCAAAAATAAAAAATATTTCTCTCTCTTTCTCTCTCTTTTTATCTTTCATTCGTTCATATTTCTCTGTTGCAAACACCAAGAGAGAAATTGCAACTTTCTTAGGATTAGAAAAGATGCGCTCATATATACACGCATACATACGTTAAATTTATTCTCTACGTTAAAAGTCCTCCTGTAAGAGTTAAAAATAATCCCTGTTACAGTTCCTGTAATAACAACCAGCAAAATCATTTCTGCACCCGCTCGACATTTTCATAATCGCTTCCTACTTTCGCAACTACTTTACGTTTGCGAAATTACTCTCTTTCTCTTACCAAGTCTTTTCGTAGACAATTGTGTGTTACATTGAGTTGTAAGACTTAAGAAAATTAGTATGGCTTGTAATGAGAGAGTCATATAAGTCAAATAACGTAAACTAACTCTTATTCGAAAATGTTCTCTTTTAATTGTTTTAATATTCAATTATAATATATAATCAACGGGCTTTAATTTCTATAATGTTTATAAATAAGAGAATGGGTTGAAATAAGTTTTAAAATAAAAAGTGAGTGAGTTTGACAGAGACAACGAAAATTGTTTTTATAACACGTTATATTCATAATTTGTCAACCCACTCATCAACGTATATAAATAATTAATATTCTTTTTCTTATTTATTCTTTTCTTTTTATATTTATTAATATTTTCTCCTTTTTCTCCTTTATCCATTTACTTTTTCTATGATTCTTTTATAATAATTTTTATTTATAACAATTTGTATTTTATAATTTTGTTATCACACGCGCGAATAGGTTTGTTTATTTTAAAATACATAAAAAATAAAACCGTATTTTTTATTCTCTCCCACTCTCTTACTACACAATTAGAAAATTATAAATGACTGTGAATAATAAAATCCAATATTGATGTCTGATAGAAAAGATAAAGGTATGTAGATAATCAGATAGTTAATACTTATTTACATAGGTATGTATATGTATAGGTAAAAGAGAAGGGGTGTGTCTGAGACGTTCGTCAATGCTAAGGTCACTCTCCATACGGTCAGTACGATTGACCGTAACAAAATGTAGATCGCTTCAGCAACGTCGAAGTTTCAAAGTAGGTCAAGTTGATATCCGGTTTTCCGTAAGAACCGGAATAACCACCGAACTTGTTCCTGCCTTCGAATTCTGCCAAAAATACGTTTTGATCCTTCCCCTCATTTTCATCTCTTCATTTTGGACGTACATGTATCGTGATAAAATAATATTGACCATTGTAAGATCACTTTATTGTCACGCGTGTAAACAATTAGATTTCATTTATTTTGCATAACATATATGATGAATTAATTTTTTTACTAAAATTTACGATCGTTCTATTTATTTTCCTTCGTCATAGATAAAATTTTAAAAGTTAACATTATTTAGTTGGTAATAAAACGAAAAGTTTAAATAACGAATAGAAAAAAATAATTGCAATTTTTTAAAATTTAAATACTTTACGATATTTTTATATTTTTCATTATATCTTCTTCGCTATAAATAAAATTTCAACCAAAATATTATTTTGTTTAGTATTAATATTAAAAGTAAAAGTAACGTACAAAAATAATAGCAATATTAAACAATAAAAATACTTCGGGAGACATTCAATGAGATGAATTATGATTAAATATTTTTCACTGACAATCAGTTTAAATCCTTTCTCTTGGAAAACAACGACGACAACAACGACGATGAAGAAGAAGATAAAAAAGAAGGGGGAAAAAAAAGAGAACATTAAAGGTCCTTTACGAGATGAGAATCCAAATGAAATGACAAAGGTCGAATGTCTTTCTGCCGTCTAAAAGTTACATTTGCGATCGAGTTTCGATTCTTCTTTTATTATTTATATTGGAAGATGTTGTACCTTGAGAGAAAAGATAAAGCTTTTCGAAGGAGGTGGATCTTCGAGAAAAAAAATAATAACCAGTGGACGACGACCGGTCGAACGAGCAACAAATAAGAAGCAAACTTATTTTATGGGGATGGGGTTGGGGAGGGGAATACTTTCCACTAAATTCCTTTAACCGACTTTATACTCTTCGAATGCTTTCGTCATCGTCCTTTTCGTACCCAACGAAATCGAAAACTTTATTTGCATTTCTCTCTCACTCCCTCACTCTCTCTTTCCCTCTCTTTCTCTCTCTCTTTTTTCTCTGCCAACAACGACGATTTATTGTGGCGCCAAAACACGTCACACTTTTTATTCTTTCTCTTTTCTTTAGATATAGCATGAAGTAGTCATTTCATTTCTGGTTTTTTTTTCTTTTATTCAACAAACGAGACAGATCATTTATAAATAATCCCACTGTTATATTTTTCTTCTTCTGCTTTTTTTATGATGCAATTCAAATCAATTTTATTTCTACGGTTCTTATCGATTTTCAATTAATTTTTGTTTTGTATTACATTAAATTGCAGAAAATACTACATATAAAATAGTTATTTAAATTGGATCTAACAGATTATAGTGATGAACGTTTTCATTGATTATTGAGGTAAACAAATACCGATTGAAATATTAATTGTTAATAATTTTGACTCATAAATGTTAAATAAATCTCTGAGAGTATCTTAGATATCTTGCTTCGCGAATGTCCTTAACATTGAACGAGTTCCGGGCGTTCGACCTTGCTTCGAGAGGACGTTTTGCAACTTGGAGATTTCACTCTGATAGGCTGCATTCTCTTTCCCTCCCCTCCTATTTCTACATACATACATACATATATATATCCTTTTTTTCTACAAATCAAGAAAATGAAAAAGAAACTAACAAC